AATATCTTCCTCTTAAACTCAGTGAATTATAAAAGCATGAGAATCTCAGTTATATTCAAGCAAAGGGAGCCACAGTTAAAGAACCTCATCATTCTCTTTGTTACTTCTAGTGCTAAAGGGGTTTATTACAAGCATTGATGAGGCAACGTAGGCAGGAGCTAACAACATGATCTTGGATGCCCACAAGATAGACGTTTGCATCCCCATTCCTTCACTTACCCTAAGATAGTATGTGTTCAAGAACTTAGTATTGTTTTGGATACATAAACAATGGTCATATATGATGGGTTGGTTGATCATTTTTTTATAGTTCTATTATTGCTTTAGTTAATTCATTCAAAAAATATTTGCTTCAATCTTTTTCCTGTGCCACAACCCCATTTAATTCTCCCAGCAACATTAGGGGAGGATCAGTAGTATTGTTCTCATTTTATAAGTAATTAAATTGAGGCACAGAGACAGTAAGAATCTCAAGACCACATAGCTAGTTAAGTGGTAGAGTTAGGCTCTAAAGCCAGATGTAAAATAGTGAAGTCCCACAAAGTCATAGTCTACAGAAATGGGCACTTGGGGGTAAATTCCAAAAGTCACACACCTCCTAAAGAGAAAGAAGAGGATCTTTTAATACCCCCAGCCCACTCCAAAGCCCAGTGAGTATAAACTTGATGGGGTATTTAATATAGAAAGGTATGCTGACAAAGAGTGTGAGTCATCTCCTGGGCAGAAATACCATCTGTGTAGGGAACGTGTGGTTAAATAGGGGAAGTATGTCTCATTAAAAAGTATCCAACTCCCCTGGAAGCCATGCAGACCCAACATGGCAGCTGAGGACCAGTGCTCCTTGCTCTGGGGTCCAATGGATCCCCAGAAGGAGCATGCTGACTTGGGCTCTAAACCAATCTTTCAACAAGAGTCCAAAGCTTTTCCAGTAAGGTAAACACTCTCTTGGGCCCCTTCCCTTCTCACATCTTCATTACATCATAAAGTGATTCTACCTCAGAAAAATCATGGTTAGGAGGGGATTTTCATTTTTAAGAAACCAGTCAATTAACAATGCACATAAAGATCACCATCGTTTCTTGGACTAAAGGGGAGTATAAAGGGCTGAATTTGTTTTATGAATTTCCTAGGTAAGTTCAGGCTTCAAGTTTTGCTAGTTGCTGCCAAGCTGGAAAATTAGATGCATGCATTTCATGGCCTTTCATTCACGGGTTCAACCGTTATTGCTTGAGCACCCCTGAAACAGAATATGGCTAGATTCTGCAAGGGAGGCGAAGATGAATTTCCTGCCCCGAGAGAGCTTGCCATCTGGTAGGGAAGAGAAGGACCCCCAAGGAAGGTTCTAGAAAGGGAGGCCCTAACACGAAGTCCTAGCTGTCCAGAAGTGAAAGGGACTCTGGGGTGGACGAAGACCCCAGCCTGGGCATCCGGTCTTAATAAAGTACCTATTTCACAGGTAAGCCAGTGTTCTCAGGTGTCCCCAGTTTGATGTAACCAGTGAGGCATGTTAACACGAACACCTCTTGCCTGCATACCTACAAGACCCTTGCACTTCTCTCAGAGCCTCCCCTGGGGAATTCCTGAGGAGTCCGTGCTCATCCCCTGGGAGGGAGGGAGTTGGAGCCCTGTGACACAACCTGCTTTCCCGACCCTGGGCTGCAGCATCTCCCAGGTGCTGTCAGATGTTTCCTCTGTTTCAGCACAAAAGTGTGAAGACTGCCCTGCTCCCCCAAATTTCACAAGATGCCTCACCAGCGGAGCCCCTGAGCCTGACTTGCCCAGTCTCGGGCTCAGACTGTGATGCCTGAGCGGGGAGAAGTCCCAGGACTCTGCCTTTGTCTTGACTCAACCCCACCCACCTGAACCCAGATGCTTCCCTTTCACCCAAAGCCAAAGGGCCCCGTGCCCATCTGTTCCTTCCAAAAAAGCCTGGGACTGCGGAAGTGACCTTCCCTCCAGTGGCACTATAATGCATCACCAAGCCAGGGGAGGTTGGAGAGAAACAAATGTAAATTGGATGGGACAGTCAGCATGACCCAGGGCTGTGTCAGGGGAGCTGGGACTGTTGCTTTTTTCTGTGGTCACCCTTGCTCCCCATCACACAGGGGCTGGGCCCTGCTAGCCCTGTCCCCAACTCTGTGGCCTCAGCGCTTTCTTGGTGTCCCATTCATAGTTGCTGGTAAAAGCTGCAAAATAACACCATGACCAAATTTCAACTGTCTGCCTAGAAATATAAGCCAATTCCCCGGGGTTGTGAAGGGAGGCTTGCTGCAGAGGTTTGAATTTCCACTGCATTGACTCAACCACCACGGAAGCCGGAGGCCCCAGTTTAGGAGAGAGCTGTCTGCAGCTTGGTTGGTAGCATTTTGGGGGCCGAAGAAGAAACCCTTCTCAGACTAGGGAACAGTTGCCCTCACTCGTCCTGAGATGCTGGTGCTCACTGAACAGATCTTACTTAGGACCAATTGGAGTCATTGGTTGCCCACTGACACCTTGACAAGCTTTCCCCCTGGGCTGAAGAGCACAGGGTGTATAGACATTTGTCTTGCGGCTGTTCCGGCAATCTTCCCCTACAGCTGGGTTTTCTCTGAGGAGACAGCTGTTTAAAGCTCAGTGCAACACTTACTGACTTTTCTGGGCTTCTGTCTCCGGGGATATTGCAGTCACCAGCTTGAATGGACAACTCAAGACCTATGACTCGCTGTCTGCACTCATCACCACTTTGCCAGAGATCAAAGCCGCAAGGCCGCGGAGACAGGCTTTCAGCAGCTTTTCCGGCATCCTTTGCTGATCAGAGTGACTTAGCACCTGAATATCATGATCAGCACAAGGACTCTTTACTTTAGCTCTCTGGTACCAGACTCTGGTGTAGTCAATGATTTCATGGTTTGAGTCTAGGGTTAATATGCCTTGCAAACAACCTTGTGATTTTAAAAAAAAAAAAAAAAAAAAAAAAAGCTTCTCCATGTGAATCTGTGAAATGGAAGGAGGGGATACTTGGGAAATCCAAAAGGCCTCCATCTAGTCCTGGGGATAGGTAGACAAGCACATGGTGAGGAGGAAGCACTGGGCCTGGCCAGGTGAAATACAGCCTGCACAGTGGGAATGACTGGGATCCTTTGGCACCAGCTCTCAGGAGAGGGGGCTCTGGGGGGCAATGCGTCCCTATCCCTGGCCTCACCTTCCTAGCTGTGGGAAGGATACCCATGGGATGTCCCCAGACAGAGGAACCTCCAGGGCAAGACCCAAATATCAGGGCTCCTGTGATCTCTTGGCTGACAACCTCAGAGAATGAACCACAACCACCGTTGAAGCATTTGGGTATCTTTCTATGCTGCCCCTGTGGGGGAGAAATGTCTGCTCTGCACCTATACCTGCCCTTCAGGTTTAGGCAACCTGGGCACGAGGGCAGGGCAAAGCATGGAGGGCAGCTGCTCAGTGGAGGGGGGTTGCAGACCAGCTTCCCTAGTCTCTATGACCACAGCCCCCCAGGAGCCCCATGGTATCAGCTTTCTCTCCATACCCCACCACCACCTGAGGGCTTCCTGGATACCATCCAATCTGGTGCCAAGCACTGCCTGCCTCACTCTTGCGGAGCTACATGCTCTCCCAGGGCCTGACCTGGCCTGCCTGGTCTCCTCTGGAAAGTACCTTCCCCATAGTGTGGACACGGCACTTGGACCAGCCGGGGTCACCAGGGGGTTCCAGAGGCCCCCAGTAGCAGTTCCATAAAGATTTGGTGAATGGATGAATGAATGAATAAGTGAGTGGTAGAATTCCAGCTCCACTTCCTCCCAAGTCAGACTGGGAGGGGGAGGGGAGTGGTTTGAGCTGCCCGCCACCCACTCCAGTCTGAAGACCGGGAAGAGAGACTTAGAACCAAGGGAGCAACAGGAGGCTCCTTGCCAGGGATGCTTTCCCCAGGGCAGCCGCTGTAGGGCCAGGGCTAGGTTCTTTTGTCAAGATGAGGGAGGAAGAAGCATCTCCTCTGAAGCCCTGGCTAAGGGCAGACAACCTCAGCATTTTCCCTTTTAGAGCCTGGATCGTGTCAAGGACACAAAGGACACAAGCGATGGGTGTTTTCCTGGCTCTCAGAGCTCCCTCACTCATTGTCTGTGCTGGGATGATCTCCCTGACTACATGATCCCTACAACTGTCACCTAGGTTCCGAAGAAGAAGAGTTTCCACACACCCAGACTCCATCCAGGGCACTAGCCTGTTACACTCAAAACATCACAAGGTAACGTTCCAAGCGCCCCAGGCTCCTGACAGTAAGCCTGCTCCGTCTGCCCTAAAGACAGAACTTCATGGAAGCTGGGTGTGGAGCGAGGGTGTATAAAACCAGGGTCTTCTGAATCCTCCCGGGGATGCTGTAGCCAGACTCACCATGTGGAGTCTGTTAAGTGCCAGAGATGGAAAGGGAGGGATGGTTGGGTGGTATCACAGTCAGTTATAAAACTGAAACACGGGGCACCCGGTGGCTCAGTTGGCAAAGCACCCAACTCTTGATTTCGCCTCAGGTCATGACCTCAGGGTTGTGGAATGGAGCCCGGTGTCTGGTTGCTCCTCAGAGTGGAGTCTGCTTCTCTCTCCCTCTTCCCCTCCCCCACTTCTCTCTCTCTCTCTCTCTCAAATAAATAAATGTTTAAAAAAGAATCAGCAATACAGCCCGTGTCCCTGACTTTTCTAAAAGCTAACTGGTTAAGACCAACAGTCCAGAGGAGAGTCTGGCAATGGCAGGAGCTCACTAAACAGTTGCCGACAGACCGGGACGGCCTCATCCCCAGCTCCCCGGGGGGCCTGTGATGCAGAGCCCTCTTCCCAGGGGCCCAGGCGGATCCCAACCATGGCCCTGACCCGCCGCGGTGGTGAGGCACAGGTGGCCTCTCCGCTTCAGACAGCCATGCCCCATATGGGTCAGAAGAGAAGCTCTGAATGGTCACTTAACCGTGTTTTTCTGTTAAAAAGAGCAAACTCTGGATAGGAGCTCAGAAGGTTACCTCTTTCCCTGTGGAAAAAATGGGCTCTGCCTCAGGAAGCAAGCTCCTTTCTTGCCTAGAAGATTCGCAGTCAAATGCTTCTAGGGAGACTGTAATACTCCCGATGGTCAGAAATGTCTCTGGCCTCAGTCCGGGGTTTAGTCCAATCCGAGGGGTTGGCTCAGGAAGGCTTGGGAGCACCCTGGCTCAGGGCCGCAGGAGGAGCCGTGGGCAGCAAGCCCTTGCGCGCCTGCGGGGGCCGCCATGACAGGTGCGGGGTTCTGAAGAGAAGGCAAAGGAGAGATGATTTTGTGGAGCCTTGCGCTAGCTAGTATTGACCCCAGCCTAGTACTCGGCATGACCCACAGGGCATCTTCAGGGAATCTCACCAGCGTCCTCCAGCGGTGGTATTTGTCACACGCTGGCATTTCCGGCACGCCCCTTCCCCCGACGCATCTTGGGGGCTGCCGGGAGCCCACCCAGCTACCCCGGATGTCGGATGTCGGATGTCGAGTCGGCAAGCCGGCGTCCTTAAGAAGATGTTTGGCTCTGACGTGGGAGCTCCCAACTCCTCATTCCCTCTCCGATGCATTATCCAAACCCCAAAATCCACCTTTCCTGAGGAAGAGCTTCTCCAGAAAATCTCTTAGTTCCTTCCACCGTCCCTACCTTGTGGGCAGCCCCTGGGTGACAACACTCACTGCCGTTTCATGGGTGGGGCCACCGCACTGCTTGCATAAAGTTCGCCTAGGGAGTTTGATTAAAAATCCAGATTCCGGGGCGCCTGGGTGGCTCAGTGGGTTAAAGCCTCTGCCTTCAGCTCAGGTCATGATCTCAGGGTGCTGGGATCGAGCCCCGCATCGGGCTCTCTGCTCAGCGGGGAGCCTGCTTCCTCCTCTCTCTCTGCCTGCTTCTCTGCCTACTTGTGATCTCTGTCAAATAAATAAAGACTTACTAAAAGTAAATTAAAAAAAAAAAAATCCAGATTCCTAGATCCCACACAAGATGTTTCCTGTGATGGAGGTGGGACGTGGGGAACAGGAACTCATATTCAGACTCAATCTCAGGTGCTTCGAGGACACTACTGGGGCTGGGAATCACCAACATTTGGATTATTAAAAACTTCAAAAGTGCATTCAAACATCCTTGCCTCTGTTAGGACCCGTGGAAAAGTCAATCTGAGACACACATTCCCCCCCCGACTGTTTCGCTTCCTGACAGCTTTAGAAAGAGCAGTTCTCTTTTCCTAAAACAAGGCTGTTCCCTGGCTTCTTTATATATCCAGGACCAGCAGGAATCTGTGAGTGGCTCCAACGCAATGTGGCCAACAAACCGCCTTCCTAAGCATTCCAGACTCCCACGGAAGCAGCTCTCAGCACGTTTTCAAACTGCTGGAAATGAGTGAGTTTTCCTTCAGGGCTCACGGGATTCCAGAAGCTTCTAGAAGGGCTTTTCCTGGGCTAGCAAGCACTTGCGGCTCAGGAAGAGGTCAGGCTTGATGCATATTGCAGAATAAACTGCCGGAAATTACTAAATTCTCCAGATTATGTGAGGGACAGACGCTCCACTTAAAAAAAAAAAAAAAAAAAAAAAATCAGAGGGAAGCCAGAGTGTATGTTGCTAGCAACAAGACTGAATTAAGTTCTTAGATTCTGCTTGTTGCCAGTGCTAAGGCAGGAAATAATTCATTTTCCTTTAACTAATCTTTCTGTTTACATTGTTTCTTTTGCTCCACAGGGCTGGCCCAGAGAAGTCCTGTTACTTTGTTTTGTTTTGCTTTGTTTTTTAGTCCTTGGTCAGGAGGATTTGGTCCTGTTGCTCCTCAGCCCAGGGAGCCCTATGGTGACAGCAGTTGTTTGCACAACACAACCCAACCATGGAATGAAGGAGGAAGATAGCCGAGGCCAGCACAGATCTGGTCCTGCACCTGCCCTTTTCACCAACACTGTCCCTGACCATTGCCAGCTAGGCCTGGCGGGACTGACCTGTGTGTTGGGGGTGAAGGAAAGGGGAGGAGGAGCCATGTCTGTCTTCCTCACATTTGGACACCCTGTCCTTGGCAAGGGGTTAATGCATATTGAATACGAAAACGATAGAGTGAGGGAACAACAGATGATTTCCAAAGGGGGCTGGATGTATTTCTCTATCTCAGCCTTTTCACGCACTTACACATACAGAGCCGTGGGATGGAGTGAGGGGGGTGGGAAGGAAAATGAGAGAGGCAGAAGAGGAGGAGACAGGCGGAGGGAGAGACAATGAGAAAAGCACAAATCATAGATGTTGCCAGTGGGTAAAGGGAGGGCCCCGTCGCCATGGCTCAGAGACACCAAGCCCATCAGCTGCTCTCTTTTATTTATTTATTTATTTATATTTCAACAGCTGCTCTCTTCACTTCATCCATTCCTTACACACAGTACTGAGAGGTCAGAGCAGGCCATTGTAAATGGTTCCAGGCTGGAAAGGCAATGTCTGCCCAACTCACTCCTCACCCATGGTCTCTGGCCCCCAGCATGCGGTAGGGAAGCATGTGAATTCCGCTTCTTTCCTGGGTTGGTTCTTTTTCTCTCTAAACTTAAGAAGCCACTGGTTTGGCCTCTGGTTTGCCCACTTCATGGCATCTGGGGGCATGACGGGGCCCCACATATCCTCAGGCTTGTCAGTCAAGGGTGGGGAGAGAAGGCCCAGGAGCCAATGCTCACAGGGCAATGAGGTGACATCCAACACATGCGACTTCTCCCTTCCCGATCTGCGCTCTTCTTGGCAGAGGCAGGTCGGGGCAACGTCAGCTTTGTCTGTCGATGTGCTCACGGCTCTGTGGTGTGGCAGATGCCCTCCGTGAAGAAAGCTGCCCTTCTCGTGTGCAGTGGAGAGATCCTACTTTATATATATATTTCTCCTTTCAGATAAGAGGAGAAAATTGCTGTTCTTTTGGCTCAAGCAAAAATAAAAACAGGGTTGCCTTTTTTTTTTTTTTTTTGAAAACCCTATTTAAAGGGTTCATTATCTCACAGGCTGCTAACGCTATACTCTGAGCCACACTCAATAAAAGCTTCATATAACTGTCTTTGAAATTAACAGCCACCTCTTGTGCTTTTCAAGTTATTAAAGACGTTGGCATGGTGGAGAGACTGTAAACTTTCTATACTGGTGATTAGTCAGCAGGACCACATCCCACCAAATCCCCCAGGGTGTTCCTAACAAAAAGTTCCTTGTGACCCAAGCACCAATTTTTCTTTCTTGTCTGTTCATTCTAATTCCACTCAATTACTCCTGAGCAAGCTGTTTTATTCCTGTCAACTCATGTTATTTACTGGAGCCTGTCCGGAGGACTGAAGTGGAGGTTGATATTATGTAGGATGTTTTGAGACTCTTAAAACACTTTAAAACAATCACCTATTGTGATAGTCACAGCCCTATATGGGGTGGCCTTGCCTGGGTCATTTGGAGCCTGGATCACTTTATTTATATGCTATTAAAAGTTTCAGATTAGAATGACTTTTCTAAGTCTTGACTTGACTACAAAACTTTAGGACCTGGGAACCCAGGACCTGGTCTGGGCTTCTGGAGGCTTCTGGGCAAAGATCCTAAAGTAAACAGATTAAGTATGCGTGCGTGTATGTGTGCGCGCATGCACGAGCGTGCACGTGTGTGTAAGGGTATAACAGCTCTGTCTCTGACTAATGGGCTGAAGAGGAATGGGGGTCAACAGGCAGCCCCAAATAACCAGAGAGGCTTGCCTTCTGGAAGAGAGGGAGGTTTCCCTGTGAGAGTGTGTGTAAGAGCAGTTTTCCTCTGAAGATGGAAAGGTTCCCTGTTGTGTCACTCTTGGGACATCATTACCCCATCATTATTTATATAATCACTGAACAATTTGTAGGAGCAAGGCACAATGCTCAGACTTCCTGATGGTGTAAAGCAGATAACTTCATGGTCCTTACGTCACCCGATGAAGGATCTGCTTTACTGACAGTGGACGAGTGTCAGGTGCCAGGGGAGCACCTGTGGCCAGAGATCTGAGCTGCTGAGGGACCACACCAGCCTCATCCTGTCCTCCCACCCTCCCAGCTTCCTCTTGCCTCCCACTGTGGCCTCAGAGACCCTTCTGTTCATCCTCCCCTCTTCTTCACCTTCCACCCCTTGGTGATCCTGCCTAGCCAGCCCCTAAGGATGGAGATGCTCCATCTGTGCTCTAGGCACTCAGAATCCAGAATCTAGGCACATAGAGGTTTTTGCTTACTGAGTCCCTGAATCTGGAATTCCTTGTTGGGGAGAAAAAGGTCTCCTTTCCTCAGTGATGCTAAGATGTGCTATGATTTCAGTAGTTACCATAGTCTCAAAGCAAGGCTCAGAAGAAGCCCAAGTCAAAACAGCATACATCAGCTCACAGACTTCTAGGACAGGGTTTTCCCACAGGTGCCTCATCTGTTCGTACCTACCTTTCTCACCCCAAGCCAGGGGGTGGAAGGGGTCAGCCTGCAGCGGCCCGGGCAGGAGATGCACGCCTGTGGGTCTAAGAGCTTCGCGCCGTGGGGCACGTCAGCTCTCTTTCTTCAAATGCATGAAGAGGAGGTTGCACTAGACCAGCATTCTCAGCCGTGTTCTTTAGGAAGTGAGATGTCAATCTGGGCTCCAAGAGAGGTGGCTTTCCAGTCAGAGCCACTAGGAGATGCTGCCCGCGGTATCCCCAGTTCCGAGACTGGCATCCTGCTCCCATGAATTTAGAAAGTGCTGTGTTTGCTGACACCCAGAACCCGTCCCAGCTGGAAATTCTAGGATGCAATGACTAGGTGACGTGAATACCAAAAGTTATAAGGCATTTGCCCTGAGGCAGTGGTTTTCACCCTGGTTGTGCAAAATGATCACGTGGGGGCAATACATGAAAAAGAAACCCACAGACCTCCCTCTCAGCCCGGACATTGTGATTCATCAGGTCTGGGGTGTGTCCAGTGTCAGCATTTCCAATAATTCCCATCAGCTGTGATGGGTAGCAGATATTATACAGATAATTGGGGGGCCTAATTTAGAGCCAGACGCTTTCACAGGGGCAGGGAAATGAGGGAAGAGCTAAAGCAAGTTTTCAAATTGCTCACTTCTGTCCCCAGGAAGGCTAATTGCGCC